AGATCACCTTATGATGAGAAACGACTGAGATGTATCTGTTTTGGTAAGCATTCCATAGGTTCGGAACTCAGGTTGGACCCTAGTGTGTCCACTTTTAGGTTTCTGTGATAGTGGTATTCTTCAGAATCAGATTGGGATTCATCAGCTCCATCCGATATGTTTTCTTTAGAATGTTGTCGAGTTCTTGGTCGCCTTACTGCCTTTGGCGGGTTAATTTCGCTCTCGACCGGGGTCACAGGAAGAAAACCACATGGCAGCAGGAGGTCACGATGAAGAGTTCTTTGTGGACCATCTCTTGTCTCAGGTTTCACAACATACACTGGGACGTCTCCGGACTGTTTCAGGACAACATACACATCGGACTCCCACCTGTCAGCTAACTTGTGCTTGCCTCTGAGACGGACGTTTCGGACCAGGACTCTGTCGCCTTCTTCCAAGGTGGAGTCAACAACATGCTTGTCAAACCTCGTTTTGTTGCGATCGGCTGTCTTTTTAGCATTCTCAGTTGCTACTCTGTAACTGTCTTCAAGTTGAGATTTCAGGTTGCGGACATATTGAGAGTGAGAGCCTGGCTGATGATTGACTGGTAAGCCAAAGGCTAGGTCAACTGGCAATCTTGGCTGACGCCCGAACATTAACTCGTAAGGGGTAAAGCCGGTTGTCTCGTTCTTAGTACAATTATAAGCGTGTACTAATGGCTTGACATACTCCCGCCAGTGACTCTTCTTCTGGTTTTCAAGGGTTCCTAACATGTTGAGCAGGGTCCTGTTGAAGCGTTCTACAGGGTTCCCTCTCGGATGATAAGGTGTGGTTCTTATTTTTTGAGTGCCGATGAGCTCACACAGTTCTTTTATTGTTCGGGAGTTAAAGTCGGGACCTTGGTCACTGTGGAGTCTTTCAGGGATGCCATAATGGACGAAAAAGTGGTCCCACAGGGTCTTGGCCACTGTCCTGGCTTTCTGATTCGGGGTGGGGACTGCCACTGCATATTTTGTGAAATGGTCGGTGATGACTAGAATGTCTTTTGTGTTACTTGAGTCTGGCTCCACACTGAGAAAATCCATGCACACGAGTTCGAGTGGTCTCGTAGCCACAATGTTGATGAGTGGTGCTGCTTTCTCGGGTATGGTCTTACGTCGTATGCAACGGTTGCAGGCTCTGACTTTATTTTCTACCTCAGTTGACATTTTGGGCCAATAGAATCGCTTCCGGACAAGATCAAGCGTGCGCTCTATGCCCATATGGCCCATGTCATCGTGGAGGCTCTTGAGGACTACAAATCTCAGGGCTTCTGGAAGTACAAGTTGGTAGTGAGTCTGAGCACCCTCTTGTCGCCTGCGATACAAAACACCATTTGAAACCACCAGTTTGTTCCACTCCCTCAATAAGAGACCAAGCTCAGGAAGTTCTTTCCTCAAGCATGGTGGAGGTTTCTCTCCGGACTCTAGTTGCCTGAGGACTTCACCAATGCATGGGTCAGCATTCTGTTTATCTCTTAGTTCAGCTGATGCTAACGGGGGAACGACAGGTAAGCCACCAAGCTGATCCTCCTCTTCAAAGCTTTGAGGGAGGGCCTTTGGATGGTGGGCAAGTGACACAACCAAAGTGGTGCTGGGTACTGTTTCCCCAGGGTCATTGTCGGTTACTTCATGGACCAAGTGCTTCTCGCAAATGGCTTTGATTGTGCTTTCATTCAGGTGTGCGTAATCAGCCTGTGATAAGTGCCTTTTTGTGAATTGCTGTATCCTCTCCAACTCCTTTTGTGACGATATGTCATCAGGTACTTTGCCATGGGGACGTCTGGACAGCCCATCCGCATCCTGATTCTGCTTACCAGCTCTGTACTGTAGCTGGAAATCGAATGTTGACAGAGCGGCCAACCATCTGTAGCTCGTAGCGTCGAGCTTAGCTGAGGTGAGAATGTATGTCAACGGATTGCTATCCGTGACAGCAAGGAATGTGTTTCCGTATAGGTAATCCTGGAATTTCTCTGTTACTGCCCACTTAAGGGCAAGAAATTCTAATTTGTGAGCAGGATACCTGGATTCACACTTTGACAGACCCCGGCTCGCATAGGCAATAACGCGCTTCTGCCCTTGTTGCTCTTGGTAGAGAGCAGCACCGAGGCCTGAAGTGCTTGCATCTGTATGTAAAATGTAAGAGAGTTTGGGGTCAGCAAATCCGAGGATGGGTGCGGTTGTCAATTTTTTGATTATGGTGTCGAACGCTGTTTGGCAAGAAGGCGTCCATCTGTCACCAAAACCATCCTTTGGATTGAAATACTTCTCAGGGTTCACTGTGGTTTTAGCTTGCTTCCTTAGCGGTGGATAGCCAGCAGTGAGCTCGTTGAGTGGCTTCACGATCTTTGAGTAGTCTTTGATGAACCGGCGGTAGTAGCCGCAGAAACCTAAGAAGGTTCTTAGCTCCTTCAAGTTATTTGGTTTTGGCCAGGTTTTTAATGTCGCTACTTTATCAGGATCGGTCTCAATGCCTTTTTCAGACACAATGTGGCCAAGGTATCTTACAGAAGTTTGGTAGAACTTGCATTTCTTTGGTGACAGTTTCAACCCAAACTCTTTCAATCGGTTGAGCACATGCATCAATCTTTCCTCGTGCTCCTCCAATGTAGAGGAGAAGATGATGAGGTCGTCCAGAAAAACTAGGGCTTGCTTCAAGTTCAACTCTCCCATACAACGCTCCATAAGTCTCTGGAACGTGCTAGGGGCATTGGTTATCCCCTGAGGCATTCTGTTGAATTCGAAGAAGCCTAGAGGGCAAACGAATGCGGTTTTGTGTTTGTCTGTTTCCTCCATCTCTATTTGATAGAAGCCTGATTTGAGGTCGAGCACCGAGAACCACCTGGACCCGGTCAACGCTGAGAAGGATTCTTCCAGATTAGGTAAGGCATATGAATCCTTTACTGTTTGTGCGTTCAATTTTCTGTAATCTATGCAGAGTCTGACATCGCCATCCTTTTTCCTGACAACTACGATTGGCGAGGAGAAAGGCGACTCTGATTCACGGATGACTCCTGCATTGAGGAGTTGCTGGAGATGGGCACGCACAGCCTCTATGTCCTTCGGATGTATAGGTCTCGGCCTATGTTTGAATGGTGTCTCGTCACTGAGAGTTATATGGTGTTTGATTCTGTCAGTGCGGCCAAAATCAAGCTCATGCATTGCAAACACCTCTGGCATGGAGCTCAATTTCTCTTTTATCCTCTCTTTCCACTCGTTGGGGACAGGAGAATCAGTAAGATCAATGTCGAGATTTGGTTTTTGGTCAGGTTTTGTAGAAGAGTCTGAGTCAGGGGTCTTGACGGGTTGGACACTCTCGACAACGTGTATCTCTGCTATCACAGCCTTTGGGAACAGGGTGATGTCACGCTGTGACTCGTTTTTGAGCGTGACTGGGATGTAGCATGATGGCTTTGGTGGTAGACTCACCAGACTATCTGCCACCAGGATGCCGCCAGGCAGGGACGATGACTTTGGTGACTCTACTATCACCCACTTTCCAACATTAGATATTCTGCAGCTTACTGATCCTTGAAGGACTTTGGTCTGTCCAGCTGAAATGGTCTCGAGGTCTCCACTATGAAGTCTCACCTCTCCTAGGCTGGAATCAACAGACTGTTTTTTCCGGATTTCAAGGGTCTTCAAGACAACTTTATAGCCATAAGGAAGAGACTCAAGGTTCTGAGGTGCAATCTCTGCATACTTCTCATAGAGAACATCCAAGGTATTTGTGCCGATAAGCACTGATGACAACGTGGAGCGCATGTCAGGTACAACCAAGGCTAGAGTAGGTACCTCGATGTCGACTCCGAACAAGCTCTTTGGGAATCTGACGGTGGCCTCAACATAACCAAGGTAAGGGACGCTTTGACCGTTGGCTCCTTCCACTTCTAGTAGGTCGTTCAAAGAATTGAGAGGTAGATGAGACATGCTCTCTAGATAGAAGGAGTTGGGGATTGTTGATACTTGGGAGCCTGAGTCCAACAAGCAGCTACAGTCTTTGCCAGCTATAGTCACTTGCGCGGTGCACTTGGCTCCAATCAAACCTTTTGGTAAGGTCACTGACTGTCTTTGTGTGTGAGAGTACACATGGGTTCTGTGCAACTTCCCTTTGGGACACTTTGCCTGTGTTCCAGTCCCCGTTTGTCCCACAACCGGAACTGGGTTTAGTTTAAAGGATCAGGCTTTGAAGTGCCATGTTGTCTGTCCCATGCTAACTGCTTTTCTTTTAGTTGCTTCCTCTTCTCAGCCACCAGAGATGGGTTCGGTTCACTTTCACACTGAGGCTTAATGTGTCCATCCTCTCCACATCTAAAGCAATACCAGGGCCTCGGTCTATTGCTTATGCTGATGTGTGCATCTTGGCTCTGGGGCTGCAACCTTTGAGATGTGTGAGTGATAGCTGGGGAATTCGTGTCAGCTGTTTGAGGAGCTAGTCGTCTGGCCGCTGATTTAGGTTTCCTACAGTCTCTCTGCGTGATGCGTGTGAGCTGGGACTGTAGGTCAGCTATTTGTTTCTTTAAGTCTTGGATTTCAGACCTGTGACCAGGAGCTGGCAAAGATGAGCTGCAGTCCTCTTCACTCTGCACATAAACGCCTTGATAATGAGAAGACACTCTTGGTTTTGAAACATTGAGGTGTTGTTTCATGCGTGAAGCTTTGGAAGAACGTTTATCTTCTGCTGTACGGAGTAACAGGAGAAGTTCAGCAAAGGTAGGTGGATTCTGCTTCTTTTGTTCTAACTGGAGCTCAACTATCAAGATGTTATCCCAACAGCCTCTGACAAACTGCTTGAGAAGATGCCGATCAAGGTCACTTGCAGTCACACCTCCTCTCCTGAGGGTGGTGCTCAGCATAACTTGTAGCCGTTGTAGGTAAGCTGAGGGTTTCTCACCATTATCCTGCATTGTGTTAAGATACTTTGCAAAGAGGTCATCTCCATCCTCGACTGTGCCGAAAGCAGAGTCCAAGATCTCTAAATACGCACTGAGGGGAGAATCAAGTGTCAGGTGCTTCACAATGTCAATGGCGGGTGATAAGAGACTTCCAAGAAGCTTTCGCGACTTGTAAGGTTCAGACTGTGTCATATCTTTAAGGAGAAGTTCCACACAGGAGCGCCATGTCTCATAATCCACTTCGCTGTTGGGGCATGGAACACGCCCAGAGAAGGGTCTGAGTCTCAAGGAAGTGTGCATCTGCAGAGCAGAGTCTTCATTTCTCACTATGTGCTCAACAATTACTTTTTGTATATCAGGTGGATTGACGTCAGAGAGTTTCAGAGCAGATTGTGCCTTTTCCTGAGATAGTGTCGATGGTGGGGAGCAATGATGCTGAACGTACTGCTGCGGGGCCATTCTAGGCAGGAGGCCTACATGTGCAGCAGTTACGGGGGCATATCGCTCTGGGGTATCAGGTAAATTCTGCTCTGCATCTTCATCTTGGGACTCTGAGTGATCTAGATCAACAGTCTCACTGATGAGGGAGAGCTCCTCTCTGAGGACAGCTGCAAAGTCTTTACCGGTCTGTTTTGCAATGTCCTTTAACTCTGAAAGGTAAGTCTGTGTAGCTGTTTTGCTAGCTACCGGTGTGTAAACATTGGCTAAGGCTCTAATGTGGTAGGTGACATCAATCTTAGTCTTACTGTTAAGCCTGTATGGTAATGAAGGTAAAAGAGATTGCATAGCTACACCATACGTATACTCTACAATAACCTGCTTGTCTGACTCTGGTTCGGTGAGATCTACTGGAATTATCCTTTGAATGGGACCATATTGTTTCAGGAAGTCATTTAGTTCATCATCAGTTTCTGTATCAGTTATTCCGCTAACTATGACTGAGTTAGGGATTTTTACACTACTGGTTTGAATGACATCCATTTTTTCTTTTTTCTTTTTTTTTTTAAGCGATAATAATATTATTTGGTCTCTGGTTTCTAGTTTCAAATGCTTTAAGCCACTCCTGGCTGGCTCGCCAAGTTGTAGCACTGATATCGCACAGCTAAATGCACTAGTGGACCAGTTCTA